AGATACTTATAGGAAGGTTTCCTATTATGCCAAAGTTCATACGGAGTTTTGTCAAGTTTCTTACGAGGTATTTTATTTAGTAAATAATTACTTGATAAAACAGCCTCCCCCCACATGTTCTGAGGTAATCCAGAACTAAGCAGCATCGCATTCATCATGTCTTTTAGAGTGCGATTCTTGCGCTCCGCTACTCCGTTAGACTGTGGTGTATACGGTGGGGTTACTTGATGCACAATTCCATGTTGTGCACAAAACTCATTAAGTGGAGCATCATACTCACCACCTCTATCGCTTCTCAATGCTTTTATCTTGCGATTAAGTTGATTTTCCACTTCGTTCTTATAACGAACGAAAGTGTCTAACGCTTCATCTTTACTTTTTAGTAAATAGATATAGAAATATTTCGTGCTATCATCGACGAATGTAATAAAGTACTTATTACCTCCTCTTGAAGGCGTTGTTCGAAAATCACACAAGTCGGTGTGAACCAACTCTAGAGGTTGAGTATTTCGTTCGATCGTTTGAAACGAACTTCGAGTTGACTTTGCCTCAACACAAGTTTCACACTTGCGAGTTAAGTCAATACTAAACTTAGGTATGTGTTCCATGTTAATTAATTTCCGGAGAGATGCATAATTAACATGTCCTAGTCTACCATGCCATAAACTAGAAGACTCACACACATAAGCAACAGGATTTTTATTGATCTTTTCATGAACAGTCATTACATTAAGCTTTACAAGCCCATCGGAAATATAACCTTTCCCAATAAAAATCCCTTTCTTGGACAAAATTAGCTTGTCCGTTTCAAACACCATCCGGAAGCCGTGTTTGATCAACAATGACCCCGACACCAAATTCTTGCGAATATCAGGCACATAGAGCACATCGTTAAGCGTTAGCTCCTTTCCTGAGGTCATTTTGAGCTTAATCTTGCCCACCCCTTGTACCTCTGATTGGGCCGAGTTGCCCATCCAGACCTTGTCACCGGAGGTCTCCTGGAAGTCGTGAAACATGCTCCTGTTTGAGCAAATATGGCGTGTGGCCCCTGTGTCCACAAACCATTCCTTCGGGTTTGACCCGACGAGATTTACTTCGGTGACAACCGCGCAGAGGTCCAAGTTGTCAAGCTCCGCACACATGGCTTCTGTGGTTTTCTTCTTTCCCTTTTGTGGCTTCTTTTTCCTACAATCGGAGGAACGATGCCCAGTAATGCCACAATTGTAGCATTTTCCTGCAAATTTGGAAACACCACCCTTAGGACCCATTTTCTTCTTGTCCTTCCCGCCATGTGAAGAGCCCGACGGATGTTCTACAACATTCGCCTTAGCCCCTCCATTTCTTCTAGCAAGCCCTTCCTCTCGGATCCTCAACCGCGTGAGCAGTTGCTCCAGATTCAGCTCCGTTCTTTTGAGCTTGAGGTCGGCTTGGAAATCTTCCCATGACCGGGGAAGTTTGTGGATGATGGCCGCCACTTGAAAGGCCTCGCTGACGCCTACTTTTTCTTCATTGCATTTATTGAAGATAACCGTAAGCTCCTCAGCCTGGGCGACAACAGATTTGCTGTCGACCATCTTGTAGTCCAACATCTTCCCGACGATGAACTTCTTCGTGCTGGCATCTTCAGCTTGATACTTTTTGTTCAAGCTATTCCAAAGCTCCTTGGCGAGCGTTGCACCGGCGTAGACGGGGTAGAGCGAATCTCCCAACCCCTCGAGGATAATGTTGATGGCAAGATAGTTGTTGTGGTACCATGCTTGGTTCACCATCGCCACGAGGGGGTCGTTGGCTTCATTGGGCTGGGGGGAATCTTGCTGCAGGTACTCAGCAAATCCCAAGACGGTCATGAAAAACATCATTTTTTGTTGCCACATTTTGAAGTTCGTGCCATTGAACTTCGGTGGCCTTTGGACTGAACTAGCGGGCACCGTAATCGGCCCAACCGCATTGGGCGTGTGGAGGAAAGGCCCGTTAGTCGCCCAATGGGGTCCAACGAATGGATTGACCGGTGTGGGGAAACCCGCGTTCGGTCCTACGTTGACCGGAGTGGGAAAGCCCGCGTTCGGTCCAAAGTTGACCGTCGAGGCCGAAGCCGTAGTCGGTCCGAGAAACGGGTTCGAATTACCGACGGGGTGATCCCCCGTGGTTTCGAGCCCGGGAATGGGTCGAGGGGCCGACCCGAAGATCGAGCTCGGCATTGCAAACGACGTCATGGTCGCGGCCCCCACACTTGCCCCGAAGGGTAGTGGTGAGGACGGCACAACCATGGCAACCGAAGAGGTTTCCACCGGAATTTCGGAACTCATTCCGTTACCGGAGGAACCCACGATGCCGAATCTGAACTCCATAATACTACCTTAAGATTGATGAATATTACAGCGGGAAAAATAAAATAAAATAATCCGAACTTCTAAAACGTTCGGATTTTACAACAAAAATAAAAGAAAGTAAAACTAAGAGTCTTCGGGAGCTCGAACGGACTTTACTTCGGACGGAAAAAAAAAAAAAAAAAGAGGTCGCCGGAGATGTTTCTTGAACCGTAGGTAAGGAAAGCGGAGTCGCCGAAGCTTTCCTTAAGGTAGTATTGCCCGCCTCCCGCACTGGCTAACATGAGCAATCTCCTCCCAGGATAAAACCGCTTCGTGCTAGGTCTAGAGCGGTAGAACAAAGCACCGGCGAACGAGAACGACGGAAGTTATTGCCGGAGCAAGATGATCGGAAATCGGGATGTTGCTGGAAGTTTATAACGCAGAGAGAAGTGTTTTCGAAGTATCTTCTTTCTGCAGCCAACCCCTCCTTTTATAGGAGGGGAGTTGGCTCTTCGCTTGGACTGGACGGATATTACGAGGGGACGAGTGTCCCTTCGGCCTCAAATGCATGCATGCTTCATTTGAACGGCACTTCGTTAATCACGAAGTGCCCACACGTGTTTAATTTGATCTCGTAAAAAATTAGCCCCGCCGCGGCCACGCTCCGCCCCGAGCCGGACGGACGGCGGCGGCGGCGGGCGCGCGAGGAGTCCTCTTCTTGTTCCTTTCATAAGCTCAATTCAATGCCTAAGCTTAAATATGAGAATACGAAAGGTTTAGAAACCGGTGTGGGACAAAGGCATTTATTCTACCTTAGTGTTCAACTTTGAGAATTAATTTCTCATTCACCCGAGCACCGTTCATGACGTGTCATATATCAAGACTTTCGTCTTACTTACGAGATTAATCGTCCATAATTATTTTGGAAAATAATTTTGTGGACCCAACCGAATTTATGTCCGAAAAACGTCCAATTTACTTTAATATTTCCAACAATTTTTACTCAACTTTGTTAATGTTCGTCCATTCAATTGTTTAAAATATTCAATATGTATAAACTATTTTTTCATAAAAAATATAGGAAAATGAAATTAAAGAGTCATGGTTAGACATCATTTTATTCCTATTGATGTAAATATAAAATTGATAAAAAAATATTCAGTGAGCTATATGCATACCTAGATAAATTAACAATTATACATTTTAATTATCCATGATTTATATGAAACCTATGAATGATGTTTAATTTTTTTACGGATGCAGATTATAATTGATAAAATAACATGACTATAATTAAAAAAAAGTACACATATTTTTATCTTTTCTTGGAGTGTTCACTTTCACATGGAGAACTTGTTAAATCCTTCTAAAATTGACATCTAATTTTAAATTTTGTATAAAACTTTATTTATTTAACATAACTTAATTTATCAATACTAACGATTTAGATATGAAGATAAGAAAATTTTTCAATGCTCATTAAAAAGCAACCATATAAATTTTAAATACAAAATTCTTGTCACTACAATATCTCGTTTGATTTTGTTATTTTAAAAAATTCAAAAATGTTATGTATCAAATTACCTTAAAACAATAAAATAAAATTAAATACATTAAGATAAAATAATATTTAAAGTACGTACCTTTTCTATCCTTTTTTTTGTAGAAGTATTTCTTTTCTCATTTCTCTTGCATCTCTAGTTGATTTCGTCCATGTATCGTCAACTTGATTTTCCATAGCCCCAATTGAAATTGAAAAATAGGATGCTCCTACCACCAATCCTTTTAAAAACAAAAGGGTGAAATTGAATTAATGATTCTCTGCTTATTTATTGCATAATTAATTCTGAATGCCTATGTATTGAAATGGAAAATGAAAATGGGTGGTGGATGTCACATTTCAACTCATTATATATCTCTTTTTATAATAGGATTTTGACTCAAGTATATAAGAGTTTCCATAAATTTAGATATAAAAGTGAGCAATTTAACTCATTGTCAGTTAGATAAATAAGTAAGGAATTTAAAATAATATTGGGACCATTCTAGATATAACGAATTCCTTACTAAAAATAAACGAATCCAGAACAATACGGAGTATTATTGATTATCCAAGATACATAATTAACGATTGTCATATATAAGTAAAGGGATCCAAAATAATATTAGTATTATCCAACATACATAATATAAGTAAGGTGATGAATATTATACTCGTGATCATAATTTTCAAATTTAGTACTATTAAGGACTGTTTCTTAATGATATTTTTCGTAAATTTTGTCAATCACCATATGTTAAGGAATTAATTCTTGGAAATCATATCATACCATTCATGACTATGCATAAATCATTTTCTAACGCACAACTCTATTAGGATAGTTTCACATTTAATTATTTACTTACCTTTTGTATTTTAGATAGGATTTTATTATGGTGAGAATTCCTTGGTAAAGGATTAATATATGTAGCATGGTCCTAAAATTCTATTTAAATTAACTAAAAATATTAATTTTTTTATTTTTAAAATAGTATTTATAATTCTTCATATTTATTTCTAATTTTTTATATTATCATCGTAATTGGAGTTCATATTGTTGTAATCTGAATACATATATTTACATATAATATTATTGATTATCCAAGATACATAATTAAAGATTGCCATGTATAAGTGAAGAGATCGAAAATAATATTAGTATTATCCAAGATACATAATATAAGTAAGGTAATGAATAATATACTCGTGATCATAATTTACAAATTTAATATTATTTAGGAGTATTTTTTAATAAGATTTTCCGTAAATTTTGTTAATGACCATATATAAGTAAGACAAATAAGTAAGGAATCAAAAATATTATTGGAATTTCTATTAGTATAGGTACTCTATTGATTGCAATCTATATATACACGAATTTCCATTAATAAATTTTTGTTACTTATTAATTTAAGTATGAAATTTATAAATATGGAAGTAAGATAAAGGATTAATATATGTAGCATGGATCTAAAATTCTATTTAAGTTAAATGAAAATTATTATATTTCTTTTTTATTTTTTAAATAGTATTTATATTTTTTCGTATTTATTTTTAATTGTTTATATTATCCTCGTAATATGAGTTCGTATTGTTGTAATCTGAAAACATATATTAACATATAATATTATTTATTATCCAAGACACATAATTAAAGATTTCCATATATAAGTAAACGGATCCAAAATAATATTAGTATTATCCAGCATACATAATATAAGTAATGTGATGAGTAATATACTCGTTATCATCATTTTCAAATTTAGTATTGTTTAGGATTGTTTCTTAATAATCTTTTTTGTAAAAAAAAATATTCTAATTTCTATTAATATAGGTACTTTATTGATTTTAACTCTTATTATACACAAATTTCCACAATAAACCTTTGTAACTTATTAATTTAAGTATGTAATTTTTAAATATGGAAGTAAGATAAAGGGTTAATATATGTAGCATGGTCCTAAACTTCTGTTTAAATTAAATGAAAAAATATTATATTTATTTTTTAAATAGTATTTATATTTTTCATATTTATTTTTAATTATTTTATATTATCATCATAATAGGAGTTCGTATTGCTGTAATCTGAAGGAAAGATATTCGTTGAAGGCCAGTGATTATCGCGTAGAAAATCTACAGTTAATTGTTTTCAACAGGAGATCCGTTGGTGCATCGTATATAATTTATTTCTGCTTGTTTACTCGGATATTACGTGGCGTGCTGACATGTTTAAATTTTGCCACATAGACATGCCAAATGTCGAATTTCTGTGCATCCGAGTCTCCTTTATTATATTAAAGGATTATCCAACAAACATAATATAAGTAAGGTGATGAATAATATACTCGTGATTATAATTTTCAAATTTAGTACTATTTAGGATTGTTTCTTAATAATATTTTTCGTAAATTTTGTCAATCGCCATATGTTAGGAAAGTAATCTATTCTTGAAATCATATCATACCATTCATGGCTATGCATGAATCATTTTCTAATGCACGGCCGTATTAGGACAGTTTCACATTTAATTATTTACTTACCTTTTGTATTTTACGAATGACTTTATTATGGTGAGAATTCCTTGGTAAAGGATTAATATATGTAGCATGGTCCTAAAATTCTATTTAAATTAATTAAAAATATTCTTTTTTTAT